CACTGATGGCGCCCACAAAGCAAAGCATCTCTGCCAAACCCTCCTCAACAGCAGAAAATAACTGTAATAGCTCCAGTGTATACAATCAGTGCTTTGTAATCTCCTTAAATCTCAGCCTCTTTAGTAATAACTCTGCCTTTCTACAGCACCTTCCATCTGAAAATCACAAAGCGCATTAGGGTAGGTGAGTGCTACTATTTCAAGTTTTCGGCAAGGGAATCTGAAGCTGAGAAAGTTCACACGGCTCACTTGAGGTCAGCGACAGCAGACAGCACAGGACCGCTTCATTTCCTATGGCCCAGACTTAGGCCTTCAGGACTCCCCAAAGGGAGAACAGCAAAGAGCAGAATTTAGGAAAGCTGGGAAAAAAATCACTAGAATTAAAATCTGGATATCAGGGCTAACTTCCTTACAAGTCCATACAGTTTGTCTTTGAGGAATCAGTTACTGAACACTGTCCCGTGCGATCTACTACCATAGTTCATCGTCAGCCATTCAGAGGGATGCTGTGCAGGGATTAAATTTAGCATTTGCATTTAACTGCAAAAGGAGTAATGCAAAGTTATGCCGCACTTGTACAAATTAATATGGATGGTCTCAGGCTAGTGGCCCCAAGTCCCCTCCACAGCCCCATCTCTTCCAGATGTGACTGAGCCACCGCTGGCCATCCCAATCCAAAGTAAATTCCACTGTCAGCACTGTTACCCTTCGGTCGCATCCAGTCCATCACACATTTTCCTAGCTTGTAAGTAAGAGTTAACAACAGCAATATCCAGAAGTCAGGTAAAATGATTCCTCCATTTTTGTAAAACATAATAGGCATAAGGATGACCCCTGAAAATGATATTTCTAAAATATATAAGTGCTCAGTAAATTATGAATGTATCTGATTCACCTCCTCAGCCTTCCCTTTCTCCAGTGCACACTCACTTCTGTGATCACAGCTTTAATTGTTGAATTTGTTAATTTGTTGAAATTGTTAATTTGTTGTTGAAATACTCTTCATTATATTTTTTACAGTACCCTTTAGTATGCTGCTTAACCTCATAAATTGAAACACATATTTTAGCTCTCTGCAAGACTGTCAAAAACCTTCAAGATCAAAGGCTTACATACACGGAATATGAGTCCTATCTAGAGGACATTATAACAAACTTCAAAGATTGGCCAGCAAAACTACCGTACCAGAAGAAAATAAATCAGAGAGAGAAAACCAAATTAACTTAGGTCTATTGCCTATGCATACTGTGCGCTGCTGAGAACAACACTCCCATCTTTGCAAATCTGGCAATTAAAAAGCCAAATTCAAGATTCTGCCCAAGACAAAGTCTTATGTCCCACTCAATCCACCGATCCTTGCAATGGATATAAATGCATAAAAATGCAGGACTTCATTCACTTCCTCTTGTAAAATCCATTGTGCGATCTTCACATAGTAAAACATCTATTCAACAAGGAAACATAGCAGTGGAAAATTACTGCAACTTCTACTCCACCTCAAAAACATACAGATAATGTAGGATGAGACAGGGCTCTCATAAGAAGTAATGATTCAATGTCTCTTGCAGAGAATTTCTACAAACAGAGCAACTGAAAAGACCAACCAAATTAAGGCTATTCCCTCTGCTTGCAAAATTTCTATGAAACTGAGGGTAGTGGCCTTTCTCTTGGGCAGCGAAATAGGCTCTGCACATCTCATCCATGGAAGAAGCACCCAGTGAAGCACAAGGGAACACAGCCCATCACTCACTTTACTCATGCACGCTGACACATCGTTTTCCTTATGTGCCCATCTCTGCTGATACCTATACCACCTTCTGGTAATGCACTGCATGCATATCTGTCACTTCAGTCGTGCTCTCTCTTCAGGGAAAACTGCAAGACATGTTTTGTTTTTATAGGTTGTTTCTTTTTTATGCAAATGTTATTCTCAGTTTGCATTTAAAGGAAGCAGGCAGTAAGCCTTGCACCTGGAGTGGAAGATGACTGGTTTGCGAGGAAATTGCCAAAGACTTGCATGCATTTAGTTGTCTATTCTATCTTGAGAACTACCAAAAAAAATCCTAAGTGATAAACTCTAATAATTGTTAAAAAAAAAAAAATGTAAAGAACCTAGATCTACCATAATATCTCAACAATCTAAGGGAGCCATTTACTTTGACAGAACCTGAATTCCCCAGGCGCTTCTATAGTGGTAATGGAGACAGAGGAGCCAATAAATTATAACCTTGTGTGCAATGCAACTACCATTATAAACCACTCTTAGCCTCCTGTTTTATCCCCTGGGGTGGCCCATTCTAACAGTTTCTGAATTTCCTTGCCTTCGTTCTTCTAGTGTGCTCTTTCAGCTTTCAAACCCTTTTATATTGTCTACAACAATACTTCACATTTGCATAGCATCTTTAATGTGAAAATCCCAAAACACTTTACACAGTTCAGAAACAGGCCGTCATTTTTTACAGGCTGAAATAGAGGCACTGAGAGACAAACTGGCTTATCAAAGGTCACGCATCGCTGCACGTAAGTAGAATCCAGACTATCTCTTTCAAGTATACATTAGTAGGTAAACAACATTTCCAGATCTATAATGCAGAAGAGGTACACCCCGTATCTTACAGTACCTACATTACTTCTGAAATATTTCTGGAAAACTGCCCTGGCCAACCTCCCAAACCCCCCACTTCCAATTCATGCCAAGTCTGTTTCGCTCGCAGTTTCAGCACTCTGGATAGACTGTCACTAAGTCTGTATAAAGCTGCTGGAAAATAACTCCTCAAGATCAGATAAAAAAATATGAAACCCCTGGAATTTTGCCAAAGTATTACACAATGTTCACTGCTTTTAGAAAATACCAGCTATGCAAAGCAGACTTCCCCTAAGTGTAAGATATATATGGCAAAACACAGACATAATACCAACACGGAAGCTGGCTCTGCTTTTTCTTCTAGGCTTAATTAAAATTCTCATAGAAACATATCTCTGGTATGATTTTCACATACCAGTCTGAGCATCTTCTGTGCAAGAGTGCAGGCTCATAGAAGTGACCTGACCTTGGCTCTGTGCCATTAAATTTCACCTATTAGCAGTTCCCTTCTCAACCAAAAAACCCATAATGGTATGTTGCATTTTATATACTGCATTACCTAAAATGAAAGGTATTAATTAGTAAAATAGTGCAATCTGCATTTAAACCCCAGGCAGCAAATCTACAGCAATTTCTGAAGTAAAAAAAAAAAAAAAAAAAAATCCGAAGAATCATTTTAGCTCTCTCCATGGGAGCTAAGCTGTCAAAGACTAATATAAGATTGAAAGGTATATGATCCTGCTCTTCAGTATCACCATCAAAAAATGCCTAATTCTAAGCAGGTTTGTACCATCTATTGTTTAGTATAGACAGAAATGCTGTGCTCCGTTTTCAGGATAGCTCAGCAATCAGCTGTATCAGCAGCTCCAAGGAGGATTATTGTCCCCTGCTGTTTTTTTAAAAGCAGATTAGTTCAGACTTTCTTTCACTGTAACGAACCTTGTAAGGATCAAGCACACCACATTGATTTCCACCATGAAATTGTGAGGTCAGTCAAAAGGCTAAACAAACAGTTTCATGGACCCTCTCTGCCCCAGCAGACCCGCTGCCCCAGAACCACTCATCAGCCCCAGAAAGGTGGAAAAACGGTAACTGTTAACCGTAGCAGCCAAGATGTGACTCTAAGGTCACCTGTAACTTTACCTTCTGTCCAATTCAGATGGCTAACAACCCCCACTGACTGACACAACAGAACTGAGGAAGCTCCCTGAAGCACTGGTCAACCAAAGTCAGAAAAACAACAGAACATTATGTGGTTTTATTTACCATACAGTGTCCTGCAATAATGGTTAGGGAAGTGCCTTTTTAAAAAATCTTCCAAATTAATGCAAAACAATTCAAATTCCACTTCTCTGAAAATATGCATTAGTACATAAAACTACCCCCAGTCTAGTTTCCCCATCATTTCCTCATATGCACACTCCCCTCTAACATCCTACCTTAACTAGGATTTAAACGTATGAAAACCAGAGACTGTCTTCTTGCTGGATGTTTAGAAAAGCTTGCTTTGGGTGCAAGACGCCGCCTGCGTAACAAGGATCCTGCAGGTGTAATAAGTCTTCCATGCAGACCCTACTCCCCCCATAAGGGATATCAAACTAGACCATGAGGACATTACACTTCAAACAACATAATGAATGCAAACTTCCCTTTCTGTAACGCTAAACTCCGATGACAGAAGAGTTGCCAGCTATGATGAAGCAGCAAGCCAAAGTTTAGCTGAAATGAAAGTCTCTAAAAAAAACAAGCAAAAAAGCAGAGCGTTAGTCGCCCATTGCCTTTTGTCATCTTTAAACTCCGAAAATCCTTACTGAATACCTGAATATCAATGTGGTCTACAGCTAGGTAAAAAAAGGACCTATCCTTCCAGAAATATTACCAAGCATATTTCACTTCAGACTCCAGAATTGAATTTTATGGAACAATGTATGGTATTTGCCATCATTTCCTGTAGGCAAAACTTCAAAACGCCTGTACGGGTCCATTCATTTTTCTCAACAAAAAAAAAAAAAAAGGAAATGAACTAATTGAAACATCTACTATAGTGATACAACTTTGCTAGAAATCTCAGCATTGACCTTTCCAAACCAAAAGCCCGTACACTATACTACAGCTCAAGCAGACTTCACGAAAGATCAAGATAATTAAACGTATCTTCTATATCTGCGACATGAGAGATAAAGTTCAGTCTTCAGAGGGTCTCCATTCCAAAGCCTCCTTAAAGAGGTTCTACAGTAAATTTTACGTTATTAAATTATATAAAACAGAACACCGGGAGGAATTGATCTTGCTCCCCAACGAGTCAATAAAGCCCTCGCCATTGATTTTAAAGGGAGCAAGATCAGGCATTTGACTGCCGCTTAAAAACAAAAATAAATGCATATGCTGCAGTACTCTGCTTCAATAAATCACATACCTTATACATAAAAATGAAATCACATTCCCTCGGGAAGGGGAAGCTTAAGCCTCAGAAACCTCCCTGTCCTGCCTGTCACTCTGCGTGACAACCGCACGCTCAGCTCGTCAAAAGCCGAGGCCACCCCACCGGGTGACATGAAAGGCGCAGGGCTCCGGCACCCACCGCGCTCCCGAACTGCCAGCGGGAGCCACCTCCGGGCCGCACCTGACAAAAACCCTGCCCAGGGGCGCCCCAAAGCGCCTCCCAGGCACTTTCGCACTCCCTCGCTCTGGGCAGCCGCATCCA